TACTCACTGACAAAGAGGTCTTTACATAATGTATTCACACTAGAGCACAGGGCAAGAACGCTTTAGTTTGCAGTGGATTTAAAAGGCAGTCGTTGTTTAAAGGACTGCTGCAAGGTTAAGCACACTCGCTGCTGTTTTAACCAGTTTTGACTAAAGAAGGAAATTATAGTAGGTTTTACTTTGAATTATTACATGAAAGCCATGAAATTGGAAATGGGCTTTTGCTAATATAAAATACAGGCAGAATGAAAGAAGTAACCCCAAAATTGTTTAAATAGAAAGCGTTTGTCAGCTCATATAGAGTTTAGCATGCCTGATTTTCTCCCAGATTTTCAGTGCTCACAGTATACAAACAGATATACGTCACATGTTGCTCATAAAAAAAATATATGCATATGTATATATATATATATATATATGTATTTGTAAATACATTCATGCATCTGTATGGGTTTTAGTGTTGGCAACTCAGATTGTGTTATGTGTACAGACTGTCTCACTAGTCTGGTGGTTTATTTTAACAAACAAACATGATCAACTTAAAGCCACTTGTTGGTAAAACCAGTAACACAACACTTGAATGCTTAAAACCTTATGTAGTTTATAAGGTGAACTTGTTAGCAAACAGTTGCTTTATTACATATTCAGCACGGAGCGACATTGCCATATATTTATGGTCATGTTTATGATTTGAGTTTGTTTTGCTTAAATATTTTGATGTAATCTGTTTAAAACATTTTTTTGGGTTAAATTAACTTATCTGGTTTTACAGTGTAGTCAAATTTAGTAATTTCAGTTGCCTAATCTTTGAATATGGACTTAGTATACAGTATCATTATGATATAGGCAATTAAAGTGTGTATTAGCTGTGAAACATGACATCACACTGATAACTGGTTTATTGTAAGTGTCATTTTTATGTAATTGCTTTATTATTTTACCTTGGTCTGGTGCAGTTGTGACAAATATGCAGGAAACACAAAAGAAGACTATTAAACACACAGAGCATAAAAAGAGATAGAAATATTCAGTATTATGGCCAAACACACATAGCCACTTCTAATATGCTATTAAAAAACATAAATCAGTTCAGATTTTGACAGATGAAAATTCTTTATATATAAACACGTCTTTTCTCTGCAGTCTAAATCTAATCGTTATCTTATTTGTTCGTGGGGCAAACATGAAAGTGTTGTGTGTGTTCTTTGTGCGGTTGTGACATAATCTGATTTTGTGGCGGTGGTATCAGTGTTCACATAATTCAAATACATGCTTGTTGATAGCTTGACTTGAAGATTTTATGAGATTTTGTTGATCTCACATACAGTTTTCTGTTTTTATCTGGAAGGCATCTGAATATAAATAAAAAGCAGAAAGAGAAAGCTGCTCAGCTATTGTGGCAAAGACAGATTGGATGACTGTGGATGTCCTGACAGTGCAGCGATTACTTGTCACTATTAGTTTCCATTAGTTTTAGAGAATACATTGTTAAAATGACACCAGGGCAGTCCTCTACTGCGACATGTGCGAAACTGCAAAGTGATAGCGTGGCGTTGCATGTTTCTCACTTATCTAAACCCATCAATTCAAGTAAACATCGAAAATGACCGATAATAGAGCCTGTTTGAGTCAACTGGACAAGTGGGTCATCACACACAAATGGTGATGAAATGCACTCACAACTGCAGTCAAGACACACACTCCCTGCAGCAGTCTACCATAAACTAAAAAATGATGTGAAGCATCCAGACAGTTAAAGTGTGATTTTAAGGGATACTACACACACTTCTAGGATCAAACACGCAAGGCACTACCTGCAAAAGGAAATACAGCACATGTGGTTATACGTAGCTTATAGATCTGTCAAAAAACTGAAACACCAGCATCAAATGCTTGTTCCTAACAGCCTTGTCAACCATTAATCCATAACGTAGTCTCTCATATTTATTAACAAACAATCTTCACATCTTGTTGTGCTCAGTGACTGTTCTTCCGGTTAAAGGAACAATTGACTAATCAGAGCTATGCAGGCTGGATTAAGAATAGGATTGTTGTCTTCCTACATAGCTAGCTGGCTACATCCACAAAAAATAGTCACAGAAAAATGGGCACTAATTGGTGACCAGTGTGGATGAAATCGATGCAGCTACACAGCCACTGCAAGCAGTCCTACTACTGCAATTCTAGGTGCTGTTTCCACTGTTATAACCAATAAAGAGTAAAGGTATTAAACTATGAGTAACTACTCTACTCAGAGAGCAGCAGTGAAGTGTCCGTGAGACCAGAGCTAATTCTGGCCTGCAAATTTATTGTTTAATTTTCAGGATGTGGGATAGTAAAAGTATCTTTATTGGAGCTGTGCAACTCCTCAGGAGAGTAAAGCAACTACAAAACTTGTAAAAAAACCAACATGCCTGCATGACTGAATTTGAGGGCTTTTAAATTATTTTTCTTTGATGCAGTGATGAACATACTAAATGATGTGGAATAAGCGGGGTTCACACATTAAAAGATTTTGTGCTTGGATTTGGTCAAGAGGGATCTTGATATCCTTCCACTATCCTGACTTTGCTTTTTTACCAAATGTGTGTCAAAAAGGAGCTTGAGAGCAAAGGGAATCTTAATTACTCTGCTACATGTGCAGTAATTAATGCTGAAAAAAAATTCCTTAAAGGGCCAGATGATAAATCTGGAGAAAATAAATTGGGCACAGGCAGCATATGTTGATTTTATTTGTCATAAACTCTTATTGGCTATTGCAGTCCACCAGCCTCAAAACCTGTCTTTACACAGCTCTAGATGCAGGATTGTTGGAGAGTTTTGTTTTTTTTTTCTGAAAAAATTTAAAATCTTTGCATGCCTATGGACTGGGTCAGAAATTCTGTCCAGCCTTCTCAAACTTAACGAGGTTCTATGACAGCTGTGCAAGGACAAAATTCTGTCTCAGACCTCAAAACTTTTTTAGACAGCTAAATTGGGATTTAGCTGCCCCTTCATTGAGCCAGGCACCAGGGTGGAAGACCACAGAATGACAGTGAGTCTAGACCACCACGGTTTTGTCAGTCACACACACAGGACAATAATCTACTACCAGTCCTGAAATAACAATGGCAGGAGCCTTTTTGTTGTTGTATTGTTATCTGTGTGAGCTTCATGCTTTAGGTTGTGTAGGTGGTACATTAGTACATGACTCAGATGATAGTGAGGGATGTGTAATTAATTAGCAGTTAATTGTTTAATAATGTTGAGCAGTCTTACGCGTGCTTGTTGTTTGCTCTGATAGATTTTTAGAAAACAGCTTGTCAGGCTGTACAGTTAATCTTTCGTGTGACATTGTAAGTAAACACAGACTCACTTTGGCAGTTATTTACAATAATAATCTTCCTTTATTCTAAACTGGTCTACAACGGTGAAAGGTACAGTATGTATCTGTATAGGATCTGCAGTGTACTGTATGTACAAAGACATTTCTTGGCTGTGTCCCCACTGTCCTGAGAGCTGCAGGATGCTGAGAAACTATTCTTCAGACAAGCATGACACACTGAGGCACTCTAAATCTCATCCTGTTGAAGAAGCACTGGAAACATTGCTTTGACTGCACAAAACACATCACAAGATCCTTTTGGGGTTTTTTTTGTTTGTTTTTTTAGTCTGCTTATGCAAGGATTCAAAGTTTTGTTCATTTTGTGTATGCATAGTGGGTCTAAGCGGGGATTCAAACTGAAATCAGCCCTGCGTTAAAACAGCACAGAGGGATGCGTTGTTGGGGGTGTGATCCACCAGGAATGCATTTGCATATATTTTATTGGCTAGCCTTGCCAGATGACATCGCATTGCATAAATGCTCTCTGTGCCTTAGCAATACCTTGACAAGCTTCCCATCTAATTAACAAGTTTATGCATTCAAATAAATAAAACTGTAGCTCCAAAACATAAAAATATCCTTACATTCACTATTTAAAAGTAACATAAAGTCAAATATTAAGCAAAAGCACCAAAAATGAATTGTAGAAGAAGCAGAAGAAAAATGCCTACCTTCCCGGGGGAAAGTACAGAACACAAAAGTAAAAACAAAGCAAAGTTTGTTTCATAGAATAAAATAAGCATTAAACTTCCTGTTAAATGCAAAACATTCCCTAATATGGGGAAGTGCACAAACTCACAGAAACACATTTAACCCCAGGCAATCATCACTTTTGTAACCATAGGAAAATATTTTAATGAGTACCTTTTAAAATAAAGGTTTCCTCTAATCTTTATAGGAATGTATTGTATTTGCCTTATTCAAAATAACGACACAACACACACACACTACTACACGGTGTCACATTATTCCCTGTCCCGTAACTGCTAAAAATATGTAAAAATAAGTGAGACAAATCTGGTTTTAAACCCTCTAGATACAGAAAAGGTCTTACCATAAGAAACTAAAGACTGTCAGGATGTTTCTATCTTTTGAAAGCCAGTTATTCTTCTGCTGAAAGAAATAAGTGCCTTTTTTGATGTTTAATTCACTGTATGTTTCATTTCTGGTAAAGGTGTGGTTCTACAGTTTCTCTAAATGATCCTATTGACATCTATAAACTTGTGTGTTTAGGGGGCGTGTGCATCTCCCAGTCTGTCAAGATTCCCCGGGAGCCTAAGCAGGGAGAGTTTGACAAGGTCATCCGACGACTCAGAGAAAACCCAAACGCACGAGTCGTCATACTTTTTGCCAACGAAGACGATATCAGGTAAGGCCGGGTAATAGCTACATAATTCACCTTTGAAGATTAAAAAAACATGACTGCAGCAGACAGTACAGAGCTGTGCGGGGACCTAGCTGTTTCAGTCCAGCTCTGCCAGACCACTGTGTAATGAATTGCAAAATAAAATCAAAGTGGAGCTGGTCAGGATGATGACCTTATCCATGGCAACATCTGTTTCGTCACCTTTGCAGGCGGCTACTCCATGCGGCTAAAAAGGCCAACCAGACAGGTCATTTCATCTGGGTGGGTTCGGACAGCTGGGGCTCAAAGATCTCTCCGGTTGTGCACCAGGAGGAGATGGCAGAAGGAGCAGTCACCATCCTGCCCAAGCGGCAGTCCATCAAAGGTACAGAGAGGAGCATTGTGCTTATATCAGATATCCCTGTGTAATAAAACCATTTCACCACGCCAGTGAAATGTTCTTTTCATGTGATGCAGGGCTCTATCTGTTAGCAGAAGAAAGTTGCTTTGTAATGCTTAACCATTCATCTTTTGATCATCAAAGGTCTGAAAACTAAAATCTAATAAAACAAAGCAACAAAGTAAATTGAACATGCAATATTCAATCAATTATACTGTGGAACACATCAGAGGTCTGGCACACAGACGGCACCAACACTGTTGTTTACACTGACAGCGACTGTGTCAATGACAATGAACCCATTGATCTTTCTAGGGTTTGATCGTTACTTCATCAGCCGAACGCTGGAAAACAACAGAAGGAATATCTGGTTTGCTGAGTTCTGGGAGAACAACTTCAACTGCAAACTCAGCCGTCACGCCGTGAAGAAAGGGTCCGGCCTCAAAAAGTGCACAAGTAAGATATTCTTCTGTTGGGGAAAAAGCTGTTTAATGTTGTTTTTGTTTAAAATTTTCAATGTGAATTGTTTGGATGCTTTGATGAAGGTGACACATTTGGCTCATGGTTAAAGTCTTTTGACAGCACCTATAAAAAATGGAACAGCTATACATTCAATATTCAAAATCACAGGTAATCTCACAGCTCATTTCCGTGCTGCACTATATTTCTGCTGAGTCTAGTGTGTTTACCCACATGGCTATAACAAGTGAATGGCTTAGCTGGGCAGCGTTGTTAAAGCTCCAGGCTCAGTGCCATACGTTATACAGCTGTAGATAGCACTTTCTATCCTGAGGCTGAAAAACACTGCACATTTTATTAAGATTTAAACACCAATTAAGTAGTACAACATATATTTAAAAGATGAGGCTAGTGTTATCTGGTGGTTTCCTCAAAGAAATCTCTGTTATCTTAATGGTTTTTTAGTTTAATTACTAAAAAGCATACAGAAATCAGTCACTGTTACTGTTACCATTAATAGAGGTCAATATAAAGGATGTTTCCTTCTTATAAACAAACATGACTATGAACATAGAAATCTTTTGAGTGTCATGATGTGAAACATTATTAAATGAGTGGCATAATGTAACAGCTAATCCTTTGATTAGCAGTTCAGAGTTCGTTATCATTTACTGTTTTGCAACTTAAAAGTTATACTATATATATATATATAAAACAAACTTCTGGTGTTTACTACCTAACATTAGCTACTTGTAGAAAAATAATGAGCTAACAGAACTATGACATAAACTAGGATTATTTATTCTACTGTGTTGGAGCTGTACTTTTTTCATTACTAGTCGGTTAGTCACTCGCGTTTTAAAGAAATTAATGGAAGATTTTATAATATCTGAATAGATGCTCCAAAAAGATATTCTGCAGTCCAATTACGTTTGTACTCAATAAGTCTGAATAACGATTGGCATTAGATAATATTCAATGTATGACCAAGAAGGTCTGTATATAGACTTTGCCTGATTGAACACAATTGAACTTGATAAATTGTCATTTATTTATTCGGTGCTCTTTTTCTTGAGCTTGTTTTTGCCATTTTGCCTACGCACATGAGCATCATGTTGGGATGTGCACACACTACCTTGAAGAATTAAAACCACAAGTGTTCAGTTTTGCAGGTTTGGGAAAAAAAAAAAAGAAAAAGCTGCTGATTTAAGAAGAATTTTATCCCTCCTGTATAATGCAGCAATACTACAGAGGAAACTTCAACCAGAGGCACATATCGGCTTTATAGCTTATTCAGATTCCAGAACCTTCTAACTTCACACAGTCATAGATGATTAAGACAACAGAATTGTACACTCGGTAATTGGACTCTTAGAGCAGCACCAGACAACCAGCAATTGCTAAAGTTTGCTTTTCCAAAGAGGGAGGAAGGCTATATTCTGCAAACTCATACCAAAACCTGAGCCAAATGCAGTAATTCTAATGCAAAAATTGGTATTGTCAAGTTAACATTTACATTTACAAAGAAAACTGCATTTCAGATTATATTTATTATTATAATTTTAGTAGTACAGTCTAGACCTGCTCTATTTGACAAGTAGATAACTTATTATGATTATTATGATTTGGCGCTATAGAAATAAAACTGAACTGAATTGAAAATTGAATTTATTTTTCAAACATGGCCTTGGAGTACATTGGAAATTAAATGTCACTGAACCTCATATTATGCACACACTAATATGAAAAGAGAGCAACATTTATTGAAATTTAAATGGTTTTTTTTTATTTTACAGTGAGAACAGAGTGTTGTGCAACAAATAAAGATATTAAAAAACAGTATTACATTATGTTACATAACATAGTTAGAGATGGGTTGTGGGGCATACACAGGAGGGAAAAGCAAGGAGATATCCCAGATAGATCAGCACTTCCTTACTGGACACAACGTCAGTAAATCACTCATTCTCACATTCATACTTAAGGGTGACCTCAAGCCTCTTGACCGACTGAATAATGTGTCTCTAGGCAGAAAACACACACACTCCAAAGAATCAAAGTAATGACCTTCTTGCTGTGAGGTGACAGTGCTAACCGCTGAGCCACCACACTGCCCTGGAGCCAGATGTGTGTGTGCACAGTCTGCATACGCTACAGACACTAGTATTTATGAACAAGAACATGTCGTGACAGTATGTCAACAGTGCGTCCATACATGTGTTACACAACTTCAGTGACTGAGCTGAGTTTCATGTATGGCAGCACAGTGGCAAAAAAGAAGAAAATATGACTGGGTAAAACAGTTTTTAGAGGGGGTAGACAAAATTTTAGAAACACCTGTCAGTCACGCCATACAATTCAACAGCACCACAATTTCTAGCTTCCAAAATGATGATAAAGTTTAATCAGCACTTATGTTCATTCATAACAGTATGTTCATTCTCAAAAACACAAAGAACACCATCATACCATTAATCCATCAATCAATTAAACACAGAACAAATAGCACTGCCTCAAAAGTCAAATAGCATTTTACAGTAACAATAACTCTATACACAAAATAAATAAATAAAATGCAGGAGGGAGAAAAAAACTGCAGATGAACAGGCAATGAGAAAAAAAGGAGCCTAAGGTAACAGGAAAGAGTTATAAATCTATAGAGAGTGTCTTCAATTTATCAAAGTATTATATAATCGGACCACAAGTAGATTTGAATTTCTCAAGATGTCCCTGCAGCGAAAAACGTAATTTTCTCCAATTTTAGAAAGAACACTAGATCCCTCAACGACGTACAGTAGAAGAACTGGAGGGATGAAGTGACTCCTCAAAATACTTCCAACAAAAACTGAACGTTGTGACCTTTGTAAAAGCAGGATTAAATGCAACGCTGTTATAGTGTCTACCACTACAGTCACTTTAGCTGTACATAATAAACTACTGTAGCAGCTGAGTGTACAGTACATTGTCTCCAAATGCACCAGTAATGGCTGTGCATTATAGTTGGGCGATAAGACGTACAAAGCTGACAGAAATTTGTCTCAGATATTTCATCGTACAGTTTAAACCATGGGTAGCTATCCATTCGATGTCTCTGTTTGTAATAGACCAATCAGTGCACAGGACTGCTTTATGGAAATATTGGATTTACAGCATATCAATGTGAGGAAGAAGTTTGTAGGATTAAGTGGCATCTAGAGGTCTAGTTGTTCCAAGTGCAAAGGAGAAACTACGGTGGCCTCGAAATGTGCGAAAAACTAGGTTTGGTTTGTCCATTTTGGGCTACTGTAGAAAACAAGGTTAAACATGGCGGTCTCCCTGGAAGGCGACCTGTGGCATCTGTAGATATATAAGGTTTATTCTAAGGTAACAAAAACTTAATGATTCCTATTTTCAAATGATTCTATACTAATGAAAACATACCTATGCATGTTATATTCCATTTCTGACAACAGAGCCTCCTAAAAGTTAAACACTGGACTATTAATTCACTGGACAACCCACAAGCTGACATTCCCATCTGATTATTTTATCTCTAAAATGTTTCCCAATGACTATATATTTACATCATTATACAGTATATTGTAAAATTGCATATGCCATGAATTGTATTATAATAAGATTATCACTACTTCACCCCTACTGTGTATGACAACTCAAAGGCAGCTTGGACGATGCTAGTGCCAGACAAAATTCAGTGATGCTAATATATATCCAGGTCTAATTGGGTATGATCACATATATTTGATGTAATGATGTCTGTAATGATGTCCAATGATGACTACAAAGATAGTGTGTAGTGTAGACACTCAAAACTCGGCGGAATCTTGATGTTTATTTATTTATAGAATCAGGATTATAAAAAGAAGGTTTTGGCAAAACAATAAACAACTTAAACAGTTCTGCTGAAACAGTACTGACTCACTAAATGCACTAGAGAGAAACTGCAACTTTTACTCAAGAGGTTGTCTGTAAAACTAACAGCTGGCATTGTCTTCACAGGCCCAGCACTAAGTACAAGAGAGAACACAGGAGGGTTTTATGTAGGGTAACACTCAGGTTGCTAAGATGATACTGATAGATGAGCTAGTCTTGAGATTGGTAGGAGTGACCCCTGATTACCTGCCAAGGGGAATGCTGAAGAGAACTTGGGCAGGCTCCTTGGGGAGCTCCTGTGACGGTTCAGAAGCGTGCCGTCTGATCAGCGCGCTCATAACATGTGTTTATATTTTTACAGTCAATAAGGTGTAGAATATGGATCAGCGTTTATGCATTGGTGTAAGGTTATATGGTGTATGTATATTTCTGATGTTGTGCACACATCAGCTTTTGGTCTTGAATCTCAAGAGAGTTCTATGAATCTGTCCCTGGAGTCATAACACAAAATGTGACTGGAATACTGGAACATTTATATTATATAAATACATCTAGAGGTAATAGATGTTTAAGCAGTAACTGTAGATTCAAGATTGGCAGTGCTGAAGTTTTCCAGTGGAATTTGCCAATGACTGTCCCACCCTAAGTTTTAAGGGAAAAGGCTGGCAAACACCAAAACAAACAATGTGAAGGTTTGGTTGGAGATTTGGGTGTGTTATGGTTTTAGCAGCTAATGTAGCCTGGAGCTGCTAGCCTCAAGGAGCAATTAGGAGCGGGCTACAGAGGTTTGGCAATCTCCCTCTAAAGCCACACAAGGCTTTATACAACTTTATTCACATATCCAGTTGTACTCCCCAATTATGTAAACAGGTGGAGTGCCCCTTTAACAATATCTGGCTGGTGGATTTCTGTTCAACTCAAACTAAAATACAATTTGGAATTTATTTATTTATTTGACAGGGACAATGCAATTATATATTATTATTATTATTATTATAACTACATATTATATACATATATCTAATACAAAGCATGAAACTGATGTGCCGCACAGGTTTTTTTTAATAGCTTTGCTATCAACTCTTGTATTAAATTATACACTAATACATAACCAAATGAAGCAG